TTTAAATCGCCGCTTCATTTTACTCTGTCGGGTAGCCTAATCTACATGCCTCTGTCGCCAGAGGCATGTAGTCTAGACGTACCCTTAGGGAATTGAAATGTGGATGGAGTGAAAGAGGAAGGAGGTGAAGCCTTCAGGCTTCCATACAGAATCTTTTCTGCTTGTCGTGCTTCAGAGTAGCACATAGTGTTCAGAGGGCACAAAGTAGAAAGAGAACAGGAGAGAACCTCCTAATTTCTCTTGTTTACTCTGGAAGGCAAAAGTGAGAGAAAAGAGGAGGCAAAGAAAGCACTTCTGTGCAGCAGTATGGCCAGGCATGTTGAGATTTGAGGTTGGATACCTGTCCAACAGAAACTGCACAGACACCAATAATTCATTTTATATATGCACACAGTTGTCACTGGCTTGAGAAAATATAAATCTAAATCAGTTAAAAAAAAACCCCAAACTTCTCTTCATATTATAGGCTCACAAAGCTCTGAGATTTTCCTAAGAAATAGTCCATGAAAAAAATCCTCACATTTTCTAAACATGTAACAATTAACACATTCCAGGGAAACACTAGAATATACATATAAAATACAATGTAACATGGCTTCATATATTTTTACCTTAATAATACAGTAAACATATATGGCTCTTCAATATTAATCTACTTAGTTTCAGTGCTACTGTACCTCAGTTTCTGTGTAACCATAATTCAGAACAAAAAGCCAATCTCACTTCATGTATTTATGAAAGGGTCTTTTCTGGACAATCCAGGCATATGCCTCAAAATATATAGCTGAGAAGTCAAATACAATATTCCCACTTTCCAGTTCTTACTTTAAAAAAAAGAGAACTCTGGCAACATGCAAGAACAGTTCTTAAATGCTCAGTGCTTAAATGGTCTCTGTTGGGTGCTGTGGAAAGTGCTGTGGCTTGACACTGGTACCTTTGCTATAATTAGTTTAACAAGGTTAGTGCAACAAGTCAGTCCTCAGAATAAATGCTAGTGTATCACACATTATCATGGAATTAATTCTCTATCTCTAAAAATAACACTGCCTATGTAAAATTAATACATCTTCCATTATGAACAATGAAAACATACACAATTTATTTTTGCCATTAATGCAGCTTGGGCAATGAAAAAAAAATGATTAATTTCATTTTCTGGTCCTCATATACAGACTGAGTTCACAACACTTTAGTTTAAATTTAAAACTCTCTAATCTCTCAAGCTAAAATTTAATTATCAATGTATTTATATGAATTATTTATTTTAAACACAAAACTTTCATTTTGGGCCTAACTAGCTGATTGTATCTCTTTCCAAGGGGATTCTCCCTAACTGGTGCAGTGGGGGTAAAGTTTACCCAAAAACTTGTGTACTACACCTATGCCTGCATTAGGAGCTAATCCTGGCCTAAATAAACAGGAGTTCCTTACAGTGATTTAGTGTTTTTCATAGGAATGGTGAGAAAACCTAACTTCAAGATGATTCTTACCAAGAACCACAGAACATACCACACTAATACCAACCCTGGTTTGCCTATCTATCTCCTAGAACTGGAAGGGACCTTGAAAGGTCAATGAGTCCAGTCCCCTGCCTACACAGCAGGACCAAGTACCACCCCTGATAAATTTTTGCCCCAAATTCCTATATGGCCTCCACAAGGATTGAACTCACAATCCTGGGTTTAGCAGGCCAATTCTCAAACGTGGTTGTGTGGGTGGGGGGGGGGGGGGGGAACTTTTTTGAAAGAACCCATATTCCTCCAAAAAATGAGGTTTACAGTTTTTCAAAAAGCTTTTTCCTGGAAAAAAAAACAACCCTATGTTTAGACTGCATTTTTTGGCAAAAAAAACTGTCTGCTGCAAAAAGGTTCGGAAGAGGATATGCAAATGAAGCATGAAAATATGCTAATCAGCATTTCATTTGCATTTCTTCTTTCAGAAGAGGAAAGCAGTCTAGATGTACCCTTAGTGGTTCCATGTGTTCTAGCTGAGCTGATCCTTTTGAAACCTCAGGTGTGTTCCTGCCCCTTTAAACTGCTGAAAGGGAGAAAGAACATGCTCATTGTTTAAGTTTATACAGAATTAGGTCAACATCAGTATCTTGGAAATTCATTAAAGACTAACAAGATGGTTTAATAGGTGATGTGGTCTGAGGAAGTGGGTCTGGCCCACGAAAGCTCATCACCTATTAAACCATCTTGTTAGTCTTTAATGAATTTCCAAGATACTGATGTTGACCTAATTCTGTATAAACTTAAACAATGAGTAGTCCTACAGCACGTTAGAGAGAAACAAAAAATGAAGATTATGGTATGAGCTTTCATAGACACAACTATTTAACGCTTACATTTTTTGTTAGTCTGTAAGGTGCTGTAGGACTATTTTTTGTTTTTTCAGTTACAGACTAAAACGGCTACCCTCCTAAATTGATTCTTTGCCTTGTTGCTGCTCTCAGGGTTGTCAGTACATTTGGACCTCTCTGGTCTGGCACCCTTGGTACCTGATTGGTGTCAAACAAGGGAATTTGCCAGACCAGGGGAGGTCACCTGCTACTGCTCCCCCAGCCCATCTCCCCCTGCGCCTCCAACTGGGCTGCCATGCTGCTATGGCCCCGGCAGCCCATACTGCTGCATCCCTGACCCTGCTACCAAGGCTGTTGTGGCAGCGTGTCCCCGGTTCCACTAACGGGGCTGCCGTGTCCCCAGTCCTGCCTCCACTCCTGAGACTGCCGTGTCCCTGGCCACACTGCTCGGGCTGCCGCAGCCCTGGGTGTACTACCAGGGCTGCTCGCTCTCTTGCCATTGGGTCTCCCAGCCAGGACTCCCAGGTCTGGGAACATCCATGGTCCTGCTGGACCATAGATGTTTCCGGACAAGGGAGTCCCAGTTTTTGGCAGTCCAACCTGTGGTGGTAGTGGAAAATGAAACAAAAGAATTGGTGATTTGTGTTTGGAAGAGATTGTTACTGCCACAGGTGAATGGACTGTTCATTCACCTTTTAAAAGGACCATGCTTGGGTCCTTGAGCTACAAGATTGCCTCTCCCTCATAGCTCTCACTGCCTTACAAAGAGGGGGAGTTAGGGTATCCTGCAGAGTTAAGAACTTTTGTAAGGTAACGAGCTAAAAGGGATATCTAAGTAGCGCAGGGACCTGGAGCATTTAGCAGCTTTCTAGGACACAGGGAGTTAAGGTAGGAATGAAGGTGTATTCACCACTTTGTCTTCTGGGACTTGGGGAAAAAAGGCTCATAACTGAGACACTTTATGCATTTGATTTAATAGCTTTAAAGCTGAATGTTTGAAGAGTGTAAAACAGGGTGTAAACTTTTACTTAAGCAGTTTTGATGACCGCAATCCAATCAATATCTGTGAACACTATAAATAACTTCACTATTTAAACTATTTTTCTAATGCACGTTATGCATGAGTACATAAGTGTGGTTTTAGAAATGGTGTAATTTCTGAAGGAAGGGGAACATCTTGCAGATTTGAAAAATAAATCACTTTAAACATTTATCCTAAACTTTCCGAAACTACATAATTAACTTCTTAAGCTAAAATGACTACCATATGTATAAGGTTATCTTATGCCTTTTTAGGAGCATGGGTGTGAGTGGGAGCAATTTGTCAAATAAAGCTCAGTTTGCATTGGGAATTTATCTCGGTTGTGGTCATCAGTAGCCAGCCACCAGTGTAAGTGAAGCAGTGCAAATGCCTAGGTAGGCAGCTCAAGTTGTGATAAAGTCTAGTTTGCATAGATGCAGCTTAACCTGGTTTCAAATGGTGTTAAGCAGCAGTGACACAAATTACAGCAAAGAGGATTTTCTGTGGTAGTGAAGTTACACTGGTGCATCTAAACAGGTGTCTAGGTGCTGAGGGCTGATTGTAGTCTTAACTATAGAGTTGTGACAAGCACATCCAAAGTTGTTGTGTTCTACTGGTTAAACTGGCAACTTGGTTGCTATAGTTGAAGTAAAAAAATTGGAAAGTGGGTTGATGTTAATTTCAGCAATATAAATAACAAAATTATTGCATGGAAGAAGCTAGAAATTGGTACCCTGGTACATATATCTCACTAAATAGGTCCCAAATGGCATATTACATTTTCTTTTGCATGGGTTCTATCCCCTTCCCTGCCATGTTAAGATAATTCAAAACTGAATAAAGTTACTCTATCTTCAGTGATATACTGGTTTATATGCTTGCTAATGCACACGTCTTAACTCCATGTTCTCTGCTTTTTTCAGGAGACAAAGATGGCAGCAAAGTGACTACGGTGGTGGCAACTCCAGGACAGGGTCCAGACCGACCGCAAGAGGTTAGCTATACAGACACCAAGGTGATTGGAAACGGATCTTTTGGTGTTGTGTATCAAGCCAAACTCTGTGATTCAGGAGAGCTTGTGGCCATTAAGAAAGTTCTTCAGGACAAAAGATTTAAGGTGAGATTTACATAAAACTTGCATTGATTTTAAAAGTCTTCCTGTAGTTCTGCTTTTTCTGATTGCAGATTTTTTGGTGACTTGCTTTTCTTTAGAGTTCACAGGCATAATAATGTATCTTGAATCACCATCATTATAATTATTTTGCTTGGTACATAAGGAAGAAATTTGAAGTCCTGATTTGAAGGTGTTAGTGTCATTTCTTGTATCAAAGTATTTATGGTCCCAAATTGGGTTCCAGTAGTAAACAATTAACCAGGGGAAAAAGGGGAAAGTTCTTGGTTAAATTATTTTTTGACACGAGGAGACTTCACTGATTATAGAACACTAGAACTGGAAAGGACCTCGAGAGCATCAAGTCCATCCCCCTGCCCTCACGGCAGGACCAAGCACCATCTAGATCATCCCAGATAGATGTGTGTTGAACTTGCTCTTAAATATCTTCAGTGATGGAAATTCCACAATCTCCCTTGGCAATTTATTCCAGTTTTTAGGAAAAACTTTCTGCCTGTCAGGGTGGTTAATGTCCAACCTTCGCCTCCCTTGCTGCAGTTTAAGCCCATTGCTTCTTGTCCTATCCTCAGAGGCCAAGGATAACAATTTTTCTCCTTCCTCCTTGTAACACACTTTTAGATACTTAAAACCTGCTATCATTAGTAATAAGCATTTGGGGGAGGGGTTGTGGGGTGGCAAAGGCCATCAAGCTTTGTTCTAGCTAATTATATCTGCAGAACTTGGTGATGTGGACGACTCTTCTCAAACAGTGAGAGAAGCCCCCCACCAGCTGATATAGCAGTAGACAGAATGACCATAGGGGAATTGGGACTCACTGTGGAGCTAGTCGCTAAGGAGAATTTTAAATTTAATTGCTTAGTCTATCAAAACCTCAATATTAATAACCACCAAAAAGTGAATGTTACTCTACCCAGTTTAAATGCACTCTTAAGTGTGGAGGGAGAAGGCAAGCAGTGGATTAATCAGGACAGGTGTCACTCTGTTTATTGTTCAGAGTGTTGCAGCCGTGTTTGTCCTACGATATCAAAGGGAGAAGGTGGGTGAGGTAATATCTTATTTGACCAACTTCCATTGGTGAAAGACAAGCTTTGAAGATGCACAGAACTCTCTTTAGGTTGTCTTGTACTGCACAGAGTATTTGCATGTCTGCTAGGTGAAAGCAGCTCCTGTCCCTGAAAACCCAGGTACAGCATCTTGGAATAAGTGGTGTTGAACATTATACTGTGTCTCCTATGTTCCTATATCAGTATAGGATCACTATAAATTTTGTTGGCATGATCCAGATATAAAGATTTCCAAGACCAAATGTAAACAAAAAGTGCAAGTGAAAGAAGTGGTCAGTTTGAAAATCAAATATTCAAGTAGTGACACCTAAGATAAGCTGGGTTGGGGAAAGAAGGAGAATCATTCTCCTCCCTGCTCCCCAGTTTGCTTTCGGGATATGAACACCTAATTGGTTATGTTGGTAAGCATCATCCTCTGGTTAACTAGTACCTGGGAGCAGTCCCCCACTCGCAGCCCACTGCGGCTGAAGAGCTGCTCCAGCTTCACAGGGGTCAGCGGCTGCCCCCCTTGCAGTGTTGGGCGGGAGCAGAAGCTGGCTGCCTTGTGCAGCAGGGAGGAGAACAGATGCCACACTCGTCCATGCTTGAGGCTGCTGGCTCCTTTTGTCAGTGTCGTCCCTGACCCCCAGATCCTGCTTAAATCTAAGATTTAATCAGTTAACTGATTAACCAGGATTTTACATCCCTAGTGTGCTTATTTTGTGCATTTGGCAGCACTTAGTCAGTTTTATTGTTGGTAGTTGTACTTCCAGTTTCCTGTCATAGCATGCTGACATCACTGTCCTGGACTGCTTTGCCAGAGCTCATACACACCCTCTTCGTTTGTCGCAGCAATACTGTTATCAGTAGTGGCATCAGCAATTCTGAATGGTACTGAGTAGGCGGAGGCAGGTGAGTGCACAGAAAAGGGAGGCAGAAGGATATCTCTGTGAAAGGAATCTTGCACTCATTTAAAATCATTTTGTTTTAACTTTTCTGAGAAACCCGATATGTAACTTCTTGCATTCTTCTACTTTCTGTCAGAGTGCTGATCCTAAACCTTTTATATATACAATAAGGACTGACCGGGGAAGGCATGAGGCTCATTGTGAGGGCAGTGAAGAGAGAATTCTATGGTTGAGGATTAGGTAAATGATGAAGCTAGTCTGCCTTGAGAGAGATTTATTACAACCCCCTTTCCAAGTGCATGTTCTAATATCCATTTTATTTAAAAAAAATGAGAGACTTCCAATGAGGTAAAGAGGGTTGATGCCAAGGGTGATATTGGGAAGGGAGTTTCTAGTCTCTTACTGTCAAGTGTGAAATGAATGGTAGGTGTAGCAGAAAAGAGTATTGAGATGATTGGCAAGTTTTGAGCCTGTTTCCACGTGAGTCCGTGGAGAGCCGGAAGTTGAGAAACATTACTCCCCTTTCGTGTTAAGTTTAACCTGAAAGTTGTAGCTGTAATTGGAATTGCTATGCTAACACCTGGCAATTCTTAAGCTGATCTGTCAGCTTTGTTCTATAAAACACGGAAATCTTTTCAGCCATTCTGGATTGCATGCTTCCTGTAACTGAGCTGCCACCACATTGTTTAAATGTGAAGGAGGCCATATATTGACAAAAGTGGCAAACAAATGGTTTCATATGGCAACTGAGATAACATAGAAAGCTCCATGGTTCAAACTGTCAGTGAAGTGCATATTGACATCTTCCACATTTTAAAGATTTGTCTTTATTGTGGAATTGAACAATCATGTAGAGAAATAATGAAGTAGTGCAATTATGTTGTTTATTATAGGATGTGCAAAGGACAATTTTTTTCAAATGCATAATCCTACTGTAATGCAGTCTTTGATTCCTTAACTTTTTTAATATGAATGTATGGACCAAGGAGACTTATTTAAATCCTGTTGTGCAATGTTCCTTGCTCTTGTGATCAAGTCAGAGCCCGAGATTCGAAGACCTGATGTCTCTGTAGATTTGTCACCACATTAAAGATAAGGATGACTGCAGTCACTTCAATTCATGCAAATTTAGTGCTACACATGCAATTCTTAGTTGAGCAAAGTGTGAGCACTCCACATTTAGCAGAATCGTTCCCATGCTGCTGGTTTAATTAGCATCAGTGGTGACTATGCTGAATGCCACTAGCACAATGTTTCCTAAATGGTGTTCTGTGGAACACCGGGGTTCCGTGAAGTGAAAATAAGGGGTCAGCGAGAAAATTCCATTACAGTAACACTTTATGATTTAAAAACATAATTAATATTTAATGCATATTTTTTTAGCTTTATTTTTGTACACATTAAATGTGATTTTTGTTTTTAAATATGTGCAATTAAACTAAATGTTGATCTCATGACCGTGTTTAGCATTTGTTTATTATCCTTACTTATTTGTGATCTACTTTTTTAGCTCCATATATGACTGTTATTAGGGGTTCCACAACATTCTTTTGAGTTTAAAAGGGTTCTGTGGCCAAATAAAATTGGGAAACACTGCATTAGCACATGAGAATACTAGTCTATAGAAAGCAAATTCTAAGAGTACAAATACACTTGTCAGCTTGTTTTCCTCTGTTTGTTTTCACCCATACATGTTGTACACAATAACTCCTTCTTAAATAGCTACTTTATTTACTAGTCTGAATTTTAACTGAAAGTATTTTTATTAGCTTGTGAGTATTGTTCAAAGGATTTATGTTCACAGATCATGAATCAGTCATATTTCTTGCCATTTACTTGAGAAGAACAGTAAAATGTTAAATGATATACATTGGCACAAATAATGGAGGAAGAATATTAATATTCCTACCTATATTTTTAAGAACTTTTGTGGATTTGAATAATTCAGCCTTTAGCATAATCTCCCAGTTGACTGCCACTAGTGACCATAATCATTCAACTTCAAAGGGCATATTGGAATCTGTAGTCTGCAGGCTATCTCCATATAAACAATGAATGTGGCTGTGTTCTACTTTGTATTTAGGCAATTTAGGTTTGCTGTTGAGACTCTGGAAAGCTGCAAAATTGGACCTCAAACAGGGAAAAACTTTAGATACTATGGTATGTGTAGTATGTAATATATATATATGAAACAAGTTAATTTTGTTATGGTGTCAGGGTAGGGGACTCCTTGTGCCCCTGCCTGCTGCAGCAACCTCCCTACACCCCCAACTTACAGAGGGCTAGGCTGGAGGAGCCCCTGCCCTGGGCAGGCTGGCTGGACCTTTTTTAACCAGTTAAACAATTAAAATGATATGTTTAACTGCTTAACTCTTAACGAGTATTTAATTCCCTAGTTCAGTTTGATCTGTTCTACTAGTCTTATTTATTTGGATGCAGACCATTCTTCTTGTTAGCAGATTAAAGATGTAAAGAAGAGTTTCTGTTCTTAGTCCCTGGTACATAAGGGGCTGGCTGGCTGAAGATCTGTTGTTGGTTTTTCTCTAAAGGTGCAAAACATATCCTCTTTGATAAAATTTACCAGTCAAATCACAGACCTTTTTTTTTTTTTTTTTTTTTTTTTTTTTTAACTTCATACTGGAATTGGGAAGCACACCTTTGCCTTCAGCTTCTCTGGTTACACCAGCAGTTTTTAGGCGCACACTCACACACATCATAGCACTGTTATAGCCAAGGATATTGGCATCCACTCTGGATCAGACGGTACCACACTAACTCATTTTGCTGGCATTTATATGTAAGAGGCTAGAGCTTGGCCGTAGGCTTTCTAAAATATCATCCTCCCCACCCCCCAAATGGCACCACACTTAAGATAGCAAGTTGAGCCTTATGCAGAATCTGGCCAGGTTTATACCAGGGATGTAAGCGACTAGTTTCCTCCCCCAACCCTGTCTTTGTATCAGAGGCAGCAAAATGTGGGGGAGAGCAGGACCCGGTGCTGCGGGGAGCTGGCTTAAAAGCCAGTTCCTCCCAG